CACAAGAAAATTCATTATTTGTAAGAATCTTCATTTTCTTTAATGGATGCCTACTCGAATTTTCAGTAATTCGTCTCATCATTATTGATCCAGGATGGCCCAAACAGCCATGCCAAAGTACAAAAGTATTTGAATCAGTAAACTTCTGATTTATGATAGAGTGTGCTTCAACTGTACTAATCTTTGAATAATATAAGCCAGAAGATAAAGTTGGTAACTTTTCTACAATGCATTTCTGGCCAGAAATATTCTTTGTAATACAAAGATATTCCACATTCATTTCATCTATTGTCTCAACATGATACCCATTTCGGCGGATATCTATAAAACTCAACAAGTTTCTTCGGGACTTGGAGGAGTACAATGCATTGTCGATAATAAGTTTTGTTCCCTTAGACAGAAATACAATAGCTCTTCCGGAGCCTTCAATCAAACTTATATTACCAGAAATTGTAGAAACATTTGCTTTTTCCTTATGCAAATAANCTGGCCAGAAATATTCTTTGTAATACAAAGATATTCCACGTTCATTTCATCTATTGTCTCAACATGATACCCATTTCGGCGGATATCTATAAAACTCAACAAGTTTCTTCGGGACTTGGAGGAGAACAATGCATTATTGATAATAAGTTTTGTTCCCTTAGACAAAAATACAATAGCTCTTCTGGAGTTTTTAATCAAATTTATATTACGAGAAATTGTTGAAATATTTGCTTTTTCCTTATGCAAATAAGAAAAGTATTTATGATCTTTGAATATGGCATGAGTTGTTCCACTATCAATTACACAAGTATCTTCATAATTGGTCTTTGATCCAAACACAATTTGAGGATTATCCATATTCTTCAAAATGACATAAACAAAATAAATATGATAGTAAACATCATTTTCAAAGCATAACTTTTATTTATGTACAACAATTACATAACCATACTATTTACTACAAACAATATAAATTAAAATATTTGTATTTCTACAGATTCACTACCGATCACATGACTTGTTTCTCCTTCTGGGAGTGCAAAATAATCAGCTACATCCAAATGCATGAAGTCTAAATTATCTTCAGAAATAAAATTTGCTTCAGCATTTTTCTCTGTCTTCTCCAGGGAAGTTTGATACAGCTCAACCAGGTGCTTTGGCGTACGACATGTACGTGACCAGTGCCCTTTTCCTCCACATCTATAACATGTATTTTCTGGCTTTGCTGCTTGCACCGCTTCATACTTTTGTTCCTTCCTTTTCCATTGCTGGTGGTGAGGAGGGTTCTTTGGTGCATTGTTATTACCACGATTAGAGTTTCCTCCCCGACCACGGCCATGACCACGACTGGGGCCTCGTCCTCTTCCACGCTTAGCTTGGTGGAAGTTCGTCTCATTCACTTCAGGGAATAGACAAGAACCAGTAGGTTGGCTTTCATGATTTTTCATTAATAGCTCATTATGTTGCTCGGCTACAAAAAGATGTGAGATAAGTTCAGAATACTTTTTGAATCCCATCTCTCGATATTGCTGCTGCAGGAGCATATTCGAGGCATGAAAAGTGGTGAAAGTTTTCTCCAACATATCATGATCAGTAATATTATCACCACATAGTTTCAATTGGGAAATAATTCTGAACATAGCAGAATTATACTCACTGATAGATTTAAAATCTTGTAGCCTTAGATGAGTCCAATCATAACGTGCCTGTGGAAGAACGACCATCTTCAGGTGGTCATATCTATCTTTCAAATTATTCCACAGTATGACTGGATCTTTAACAGTAAGAAATTTCATTTTCAGGCCCTCATCAAGGTGATAGCGTAAAAATATCATTGCTTTGGCACTGTCTTGGTTTGATGCCTGATTTTTATCTTTGATGGTGTCTACCAGACTCATCGCATCAAGATGAATTTCGGCATCAAGCACCCAAGACATGTAGCTTTTGCCCGATATATCTAGGGCTACAAATTCAAGTTTAGAAAGATTTGACATTATTTAGAAAAAGAAAGTTCGTACCTCTGATACTTTCAAAGTATTTTCTCGAGATGGCAGAGTCTCGTGCGCTGATAATGTGTTATAAAATAAAGACAGTAAAGTAAAGACAAGTATAGAGAAAAACTGATATATTATTCAAACTTCAAACTTATGTACATAATGAACTAAATTCTCCTCTATTTATAGAAGAAAGGAAGCTGCTACTGCAAGCTGCTAATGCAAGCTGCTACTCTAAGCTGTTGTATAAGCTGCTACTCTAAGCTGTTGTGCCACATATAGATAATCTTCTACCATGAGTAATATTTATCCATAACGGAGTATCGAAAGGATAAGCTTCTTTAGAAGGCTTATTTCTAATAGAGTACTAAATAAATAAATATATTTACGGCGGAGTCTCTTCAGGAAGCTTATTTAGAACGGAGTACTAAATAAACATCCATAATATAATATATTTATAACACTTTTTCGGAATTTTACTATTCTTGTGTCGAAACGCCCACTAGCACTTCGCCCCAGTACATCACAGGCTTTAGGCCCAGTACTAGTTCGCCGTCCAACATTGGTGTCGCCGGAAACCCTGAAAAATAACTCAGCAATCAACGACGATGGGTGGTGATCGGAGCAAGAGCACGAGCAGCAGTGAAGAGGACGGAGATGCTGATTGGAGAGCTGCTATAGATTCTGTCGCTTCCACTACTACATTTAGCAAAACTACCGCCAAACCTCATTCCTCATCCGCTGCTACTAACGAAGATGAAATTGATACTAAACGACCCCAGAATCTCAAACATTATCAAATAAAGGTACTTTTGCCCTTTTTCTTTCTCATTTGCTTACCTGAAGATTAATCATTGTAACCCTTGTTAACTGAACCAGCTAGCGGTCCAATGATGTTATTATAGAAATCCCCTCTTTTTGATATTTGCAGTCCCTTTCATTTAGAAATTACGCCAAACACATACAAGGTTAGATAAAAAACATTCAGAACTATATCTATGTAGTATGTACGAAGTCCGAACATAATGTGGTACAGTGATACTCCTTAGTGACCTATAGGTCACGGGTTCAAGCCGTGAAAGCAGCCGCTAATGCTTGCATTAGGATAGACTGTCTACATCACACATCCCTTAGGTGCGGCCCTTCCCGACCCTGCGTGAATGCGAAATGCCTTGTGCACCGAGCTGCGCTTATTAGCGATACACCTTAGCCACTGACTTAAAAAATTTGGAACCTCCTCCGACTGCAAAAAAAGAGGAGGATGATATTTTTCAAATACCCTTACGTCATAAATGACAGGGGGATGGGGAAATACTTTAGTTTTCTTCAATTTTAGCTTTTAACATGAAAATTAAAACTAATAATGTTTTGAAAATATATGTCTTTCATGGTGCAACATTGTTGTAATTTTCCATAAGGGCCTTTAACCACTTTTTAGTCTAACATATTTTTGCTTCTACGGTCATTGCTTGATGAATCAAACTCATGAATGGACATTAACAGGCCCAGAAGACTTTGGAAGACATCTTAGACAAGACTATAGAAATAGTGAGAGACATTGATCATGCTTCGCAGGAAGCTCCCTCGGTGAATGGAGGCGGAATCCGATTGTTCAAGCGTGCTCCACTAGGGATTGTGTTTGATCACACAGGTAAAAGAAAAGAAAATCTCAAACAAGTAATTTGGCAGTTGTGTCCCTATGGTGCTAACATTTGTTTGTTGTTTTCTCAACATGCTTAAATTCCAATTACTGGATAAAAAAAAGAATACTGACCATCCTTGTTTAATAGAGATAGAAGGCTAAGGTTGATATTATGTTTACTTGCTTCCACTTAGGGGGAAAAAATATCAGATGCATAATGGAAAAGCCATGCTACAACGTTCCTAGGCATATTGTTTACCTATTTATTTCTTCTTAATAAATCAAAATAATGTGACTAATGAATACCAAGTCGGTGTCAAAAGTGTATGCGATGTGTCAGGCAAATTTTTTACTAACACCAAGCAAGGAGGTTGAACCTGCTTGACAATTACTCAAATCATTGATGTGGTGTCCTCTTTTGGGTCCTAACATATGGTACAACCTGCTTGACAAAATTACTACAGAAAACAAATTTAATAAGAGAGCAACTATAGCTGCATATTTTTGAGAGGTTGCACATTATGCAAGTCCCTCATATCAGTAGTAAGGCTAGAGTCAGGCTAAAACATTAATGTGCCTGCATTTTGCTAGATGAACTCCAACAACCCAGAAAGAAACCAAGAATTCATCCTGGGAAAGGAATTGAGGAGAAGTCAAAAGAGGTTTGTATTTCCTACTTCTGTTCTGATTCATAGTTCGTGAAAACTTTTATTTTTGAATTCTCTTCCCACCTGCAGTATTTTGTTATTTCACCTTCTCACTTGCCCCATTATGGTTGCCACAGTTTAAATACCAAATCAAGTCCGTTGCTGTTGATGGGATGGATATTTTAGCTGCATCAAAAAATGCTTGCCAGAAATCATTGGCTAGACTAGAAGCAAGAGAAGCAGCAGTTAAAGCTGCTGCTAAAAGAGAGGAAGAAAGAGTTGCAGCACTAAAAGGAATTAGGGGGGAGAGATGGCTCCCTTCTGTGGCCAGAGAAATGCAGTTAAGGCTTCAACGACGTTGACATATGTAGATGGACTAGGCTTCCATTATTCAGCACTCATGTTTCATTCTTTTACTCTTTAAGGTTTCCATAGCTCATTTCAGCCTCTGTTTTATGTTAGGCTACCTGAGCCGCTGTCATTGTTATTTCCAGATAAAGATAGTGACACTGTTCAGTATTGCCCGAAAAAAGAAAAGTTTCTTTTGATTAAGCTGTTTGACATTTCTGTATTAAAGTTAAAGTCTGGTTATTAGACTACCAAACAATTGGTGTCAAGGCAAAGCATTGCTGTATTCATTTGCATCTGAAGATCGCTGGTGATCATAAATGCCAGTCAGTGATTCGATGGTCTGTATAATGTGTCTAGCGTGCTTATAGTACATCAGAATTTCAGATCTAATTGAGCTGTCTTCTTGATGATTTAGGTAGTTGGTATATGTGCCTAAATGCATGATATTTGACGAACAAAATGACTTGAGTTTCTGAAATAAAAGGAGCATCAATCGAAGGTTTTGAGTGCCATGAGAATATTAATAACGATGTCAACCTTTGATAAGGAGACCATGTACAAGGCAAATAGATGGAAACAAGAAGCTAACAGTTCATGTGGATTATTAGTGTACAATCTCAACTAAACAACTCTTCTTCTATTGTTATCATCTCCTTCTCAATAACAAAATAGATACAGCCAAAAGTATCTCAGAAAACTTAAACAGAAAGTATTGAAATTCCTAATCCTTGGTTAATCCGAAACCACCTAGGAATAATCTCCGACTGGCGTTTTCTCATCAACACTCATGGTGTAAATACCTTCAAAACCTCCCCTTAATTCTTCTCAGCATATATGAAGAAATTGAACCATGGGATGCTGCACCCCAAAGATAAAAAAAGTCCTCAAAATAGGTTGTGGCATCACAGCAATACTCCTAATTATTCTTCTAGTTGTTGGCATTATCCTATATTTCACTATCCTTAAGCCAAAAGATCCAAAAGTCACAATTCAGTCTGTCACATTAGAGTCCATAAGATTTGAGCCATTTCCAGCATTTCACCTCAACATAACAATTGGCCTAATCCTCACTATTCATAACAGGAATTATGGAAGCTTCAAGTATGATAGTAGCAGAGCTTATGTGACTTATCGCGACGATCCAGCAGCTGAAGCACCAATTGAAGCAGACACCATCCCAGCTAGAAAAGATCATGATGTGAACACAACTGTGCTAATTAATTCAGATGGTTTCTCTAAGAATCCTAATTTCTTAGGAGATTTTATTTCTGGGTGCTTGAATTTTACTTCATCAACCACTTTACACGGGAAAGTCACTGTGTTCAAAGTTTTGAAGCACAAAGCCACAACAGTTAGCATCTGTGACATCTCAGTTTTCACCAAATTCCAGAATGCAAGTTCTCTTTGCAAATCCAAAATTAAGTTCTGATTTTTTATTTATTTATATGATTCTGCTATTGCTTTGTCTAATGTTTCCTGTTGACTGGTCAGATGAAGTATCCATATCAATAAAATAGCAAGAGCCCATTTGTTTATTTGAAAACCAAACCCAAAGGCCGGGGGAAAATCATAATTAGTCAATATTTAAGAAAAAATTTCAGAATCTTAGCAGGAGCAAGCAATTACAAAACTGGCAGCTAATTAACTACCTTCCTAGCAGAAATATAATCAATTAATTAATGGATCTCTCAATCCTTATCATTTTTCGTTGCTTATTTTTTTGTGGAAGTCCTAAAAATGCTGAAAGGCAATTAATGTGAAGTTACTGCGTTTAGCTTATTTATAGGGAACAAAATTGCACAACCGTTAGACCTCATTACAGTGTTCACTTCCTATTGCCTTTTTTATTTTTTTATTTTTCCTTTTTGGTTTTCCCCTTTTAATTTATCTTTTTTTAAAGAAAAAACGATGATTTTCAAATATGGGAACGAGATGGGAAGTTTTCTTTACATGTTTAATTTTTATTGTATTTGATTCCTTTTATACTCCTAAAAATAATAAGTATAATTTATATAGTACTCCTATATAGTGGTTGTATAAATATTATTTAATATTATACTATTTGTATATTGTTATTATATTATATATAACTGATATATATATTTGCACAAAAAAACTGATATATTCATATATAACTATTTGGATATACATAGTGATATATGATGTATTTTGGGCATAGAATTAATTTTATGATTTAGTCATAAATTATCGTATAATATTACATATATGGAATATATTATTGTTGTATATATAATATGCACTTGTGTATTACTATTGTAATATATCTTATATAAATGATATATCTATATTACATACCATCAATCCTGAAAAAATTAAAATGGAAAACTGAATATAGAAAGTAACTGCTCATACTTGTAACATATTCCATGATTTGTGCCTCATTAATTATGTGCATAGTTTATACAATATGCTAATATTGTAAAAAAAGCTGCCATTTTTTGGAATAAACAACCAATGATATTATTTTCTTAAATATTTTTTTAGAAATGCTCACCCGTGTAATTTTAGCCAAAACGAATCGGTCTTGCTTTTAGAAACTAAACGTCAGGATTAGATTCATTTCGAATAAGATTAGGGGATTAAGGAGACGTCCGCAAAGTTTAGATGTGTAAGAAGTTCCTGGAGACAGTTTAGGGAGCAACATATCTATTTTATCCTTTCTAAATTGTACTCTATAAAACTTGAAATCTAAGAACATTCAGCTATTTACCTTTTCATGACTGCGTAAGTCCATGGGGATGTTTTATCAAGGTTTAATTGATAGTACTTCAGATTTTGTAGAAATATTTGTGTCGTTAATAATTACTCGTATTTCTTTACGTGATAAGTAGTTTCTTTAGTCTTTTAAAAAACTTTCATTACTTAATAGCGAGTCATTCACCAGCTCAGCCAGGAGGGGAGCTAGAAGCCGACGTACAAGTTCGGCCGAACCCAATAGTTTTAGTCCAAACTTTGTATCTGAATTTAAGAAATTCACTAAATATGTATAAAAATTAAATTAAGAACCCATTTACTAACACTTGATGTTTATCCTAGGATTTAGAACCCACAAAGTTCAAATCCTGGCTCCGCCTTTGAACAACAACACCTTTTTATCTGAAATTGGAATAATGAAACATGTGTTTTTCATATAACATGACGGTTATCCATTCAAGTGCTTCGTCTAGAATTTGATAAAAGAAGATTTAAGGTAAGTGATCAAGTTACAGTTAACTCTCCATTTTCTTTTCCTTTGGTTAACTATATGGGAGGATGTTCTGGTTGTCTTGAGCTGTAACCCGATACATATTACATAGAATGTCTGAGGGCTTTCTGAAAGGACGACGCTTTTCATTCGATGAAAAACGAAAAGAAACAAAAGAAATATACTAGGAGTATATATTATTTTGATAATGGTGCCAATGTGTTATCAAAAGTTTACCATTTTAAATGCATCCATAAGCCAGACATCACAAATCTTTTACATGACATAATTCACTTGCTTACCTAGCGCACAACAAAATGCAAATAAATAGATTAGCTTTCCAGCACTTGTATTTTCTGGCAGTAAAAGCATCTTGTAACTATGAGTCTATGACGGACGGAGTCTTTCCTCACAACTTATAGCTTATGGGGAGGGGATATCTCATTTTTTTTTATGTTTTTATCTTTGTTTGGGATATTGATAGAGTGGATTGGCACATGAATGCAGTGCTTCTTTCTGCGATCAGATCCTAACCTTGTACAACAGAAGTGCTAGGCCTATCGAACATAATGTCCGCAAGTTTAGTTTACAGATTAACTCAATCTACATATATTATGATCCACTTATTCACAAGGGAAACACAGCTTCTCAATTTGAACATAAGGTCATGAGCAGTTATGCTTTCAGGTATCCATTTTTGTCCAAGTATGAGATCACTACATCAGCCAAGTCATTAGGAGAATCACATAGCCCTTGGTTCTGACGCAACACTATCTGCACAATGAAGAGTACAAGACCAGGAATAGCCAGAATTTAGAAAAGAGCCAAGAGTTCTGTTCTATCATCTTTATTAAAGCATGGTGGAATTGAATCTGCTCCAAGAAAGCTGAGGTGATTGAAAGATTACATTAACTTGTATAAATTGCCTATTTGGTTTATCCCAAATTTTAAAATATAGGTCAAGTCATGAAGTCAGGAAATGCTTATTATCTGGATATTGCAATTACTGAATTTAGCAGTCAATCCTCAATCAATATAGCATATCATGTAAAGAAGAAGAGAGACTTGTCTTACCTCTGATTTCAGGGGTGGCTCATATGGATCATCAATACCAGTAAAACCTGCAAAATTGCGTAAGTACCATATTATGATCATCCTCAAGAGCTAAGACTGAAGCAGATGCAACAAAGCTGAAAACAACATAGGAGAGGAGGATCTCTGCCTACTACAGTAGGGCCACAAAAATTCGAGTAGCAGGTAACTTAATAGCTAAGAGTGAAGCAAACTCAAGTCTTGGACCACCTATTTGACATGGTCTTACTTTTCAAATTAACCAAATTCATAGGTGCAAGATTGTAAACAGCTAGTAGTATATAATATATTTTCCTTGGTTCACAAAAAAGAAAAAGAGAAAAGAGGAGATGCTGATATAGCAGATAGCACCTTTTATCTTTCCAGCTCGAGCAAGCTTATACAATCCCTTAGGGTCCCTTGCCTCACATACACGTAGAGGAACATCCATGAAAACCTAAAAATTAGCCAGCTCAATCAGCTGTTTAGATGTGCCAAACAAGCAAGCTCTCACTTGAGAAGCTAATCCTTTGGGTACCATTCCTATTACGAACCTCAATGAAATCCCCTTCAGGTAGTAAAGCACGGCAGGCATCTCGCTCCTTTCTGTAGGGAGATATCAAACTGGCAATGCAAATAACTCCAGCATCTGCCAAAAGCTTAGCCACTTCCCCTGTGAAATAACCATATGCAATTGTTAGATCCCAGAAGGAACAACATGATGGGATTACAACACGGGAAAGGTAGAAACAAACCAATCCGTCTTATATTTTCTGCCCGATCTTCAGCTCCAAAACTAAGGTCACGATTCAGACCATGGCGAACATTATCACCATCAAGGATGTAGGTGAGTTTTCCTCTAGCATGTAAGCCACGACTTAGAGCACATGCCAAAGTGCTCTTCCCTGAAATCATGTTTAATATTTAAAAATGGAAAAATATAAAGTGTCAATTCAAACAGCTCATAGACTGAAGAAAGAAACCAGGCAATAAGAGCTATAAGGATAACAGTACNTGCCACAATCATTCATGTGCTTCCAAGTATGTCTACTCGCATAATAACTTTAAACCAGCTTGTTCACAGATAATGTTTGAATTCAACTGAGCAGTCTGAAAGAGACCAGATTGAAATCGCATTCATGTGCACCGTTTGATGCTGACATGTTTGACACACTGTTTTCCAGTATTTTAGCTACAGCTCCAGGTTTTCAGATACTTATTCCCTGGTCTACTGATGAATGGCTCCTTAGATAAAGCAGTATTCATCAAGCAAACTTCTGGTAGGATAAATATCCAAATCTGGTAGACATGATTCTGTCATATCTTAATGTTGTATTGTAATCAGCTAAGCATGACCGGAGAAAATAAAACTGCAGGAGTATACTATAGCTGAATGCTGTCATGCTGATCTATGATTTTCAAGTAGCAAAGCAGTTAGCATGACTTCCAGAATAACCATTTAATAACTAAAAGAATTATAACCAAATATCAACATGCTACTGCAAATGAGATCATTACAAATACCGTGAATGTGATGCCTAGAGAAAGACAGCCTAATCTTTTGATCTACAAAAAGCATTCTGAATTCTGCTAGTTTCAGATGAATCCATTGACCAAGCCCGAAAGGAGAAAAAGAACAAGTAAATATAAAAACACAATCTAATTAGTACTTCAAAATCAATTAAATATGAGGTTGCAACAATTAAATCTTGAATTTACATTAAGACCCACAATATGTTGGCAAAATAGCTGATGGAGAAACTAGAAATGCTTTTCTTGGTAACAAAATGGAAGGTTAATTAGCACTTCAGACTTGTTCACTAGCTTTAAATGGATTTGTGGGGAACAACCCATTTAAAGGTCTCCCATTGTCTTTTTCCAAAGGAAGACATATCTCCAAACCCCCCAACACATTGAATCCGGCATTACCCCTATTTTCTAATACTTCTTCTATTTACTTCATTTGCTATCTACCATTTGACTTAGTACATCACAAATATTTCAAGTCATATAGCACTCAATTGTGTTTCCTTGTACATAGTGCATTGTTCTTAAGTATCACACGCATGTACAGAATACTAAGCGAAAAAAACCCAGAATATACAGAAACGGCCAGTACATCATATGAAAAATATATCCATAAAATTATATAAAGCGGCAGAGAGGAATTTGATAGCTGCTATGAGCTTACGGGATGTTAAACAAACCTGAACCACTGAGACCGGTAATCCATATAACACAACCCCTTTGCTGAAGCAACTCCTCTCTGTCACTTTTCTCTACAGAACATTTGTGCCAAACAATGTTCGTTGAATTCCCGTTTGTAGAAATCCGAGGTATACTTTTACCTAGTTAGATAATTCACCACATCAGTAACTGCAACTTTTGACACCAAAACTAACTTCACTCAAATCGTTGTTTCATTCAAGTAAGCAAGAAAAAAATATGTCCAAACAATCCAGGCAAATCAGAAGTAAACAACTTCTAATACTTTTACTGGACACAACAGGAAATAGCAATATGAGTCGGGAATAATTTCGCAGTGCTTCAATAGAAAGACAGATTCTATTTAAAGCCAGAGTGTGAGTGCTAATTGCATCAACTACTTTTCATGATAATGGGCTCAGATTTCAGATCATAGTTAAGTATACATTGTTCAATTATTTTCTTCAACATACATTGTTAATTTTTTTTTTACTATATATAGACTATAGTTTATCCAAAACCGCGCCTGCTGCTGAAAAGCTACATTCCCATATTCCATAAAAAATTAGCAATTACCGGCATATTGTGTGTGCCTCAGAAAAATTAGAATAAATTTTTGAAAAAAGAGAGAAAAATAAAAGTCGAATCAATACCAGAAAAGCCACGACAATCATTTGCGGTCACTTGACCGTTTGAATTGTATCCTGGCTGATGAACATTTTCGGCTTTTCCATTGATATGAGAGGTTCTAGAAGCCTCCATTGCCCTTAAAGGCGGTAAGCCCAATAACTTAGCTCTGCAAAAATTACATGCCCGTAGCTTTAAAACCCCTAACTTTTCCGACGAGGTATCAGCACCATCAAATTTTGAAGGAGTACGATAAAAGAACGAACCGTTTCCGATGGCACTCGTCATTGAAACATCTAAACTTCGATCAATATTTGAATTATTGTACAAGATGTACAAATAATGCAAAAAAAGAATAACCGATTGGATATTGAAATAGGAGAAAAATGGTAGTATTACTATTAATTACTAGAAGATAGAGAAAAACAGCGGGAGATCACGCTTTTATGAAGAACAACTTGAAAGTTGGTGACGGTGTCAGATAGTCATTGAGGTGGTGAGAGGGTGGAGAATGGCGGATACTGGATTCAGGTTGAGTTTTTGGTGGAGATAGCATAGCATTTATATGTCGTGAACACGACAAAGAGGAATTGCTGGCAAGGATAGAATCCTCTCTACATACTAAACACGGATCATAACATCATGGGACCCGATGAACTGAGCTCATATTCCACTCTCCTTTGTGGGAGAGTTGTTTTACTTTCTTTTTTTTCCTTATGAAGAAGTAACCTAAATAAATAACCGTCATTCAATTGCATAAATTATATATATATATATATATATATAGGAATATATAATTCGGCGAAGGGTCAAATATACCCCTCTACTTTCAAAAATGGTCTAAGAATACCCCTCGTTATACTATTGGGTTATCTATACCCCTGCAGTCATACTTTGGGTTTAAATATATCCCTCATTTAAATGGAGGTACAGGTATCATCGTCCTGTTGGTCAATTCTAAATATATCTTAATTAATTAAAAAGACCCATTACCCATATCCGAATTATTTTTTGTAAAAATTGAAAAAAACTACATTTTTTTTTTTTACAAAAAACTGAAAAAAAATGATTTTTTTTTTCGAGTTTTACAAAAAAACTGAAAAATATTTTCTAAAACAATATTTTTGTAAAAACTGAAAAAAAAAAGAAGCTGAAAATCAATTTTCTAAAGAATATTTTTTGTAAAAACTGAAAAAAACTGAATTTTTTTTACTAAAAACTGAAAAAAAAATAAATTTTTTTTCTTCAGTTTTTACAAAAAAACTGCTTTTAAAAAAGCTGAAAAATATTTTCTAAAACAATATTTTTGTAAAAACTGAAAAAAAAACTAAAAAGTAATTTTCTAAAGCAATGTTTTTGTAAAAACTGAAAAAACAAATATTATCTTTTTTTTTTCCAGTTTTTAATTAAAAATATTTCAGTTTTTTTCAGTTTTTAATTGCTTTAGAAAATTGCTTTTCAGTTTTTTTTCCAGTTTTTACAAAAATATTATTTTAGAAAATATTTTTTAGTTTTTTATAGCAGTTTTTTTTGTAAAAACTGGAAAAAAAAATATTTTCGTTTTTTTCAGTTTTTTGTAATTTTTTTTTTGTTTTTTCCAGTTTTTACAAAAAAAAATATATTTTTTGGGTATGGATAATGTGTCTTTTTAATTAATTAGGAGATATTTAGAATTGACCAACAGGACGATGACACGTGTCCCTCTGTTTAAATGAGGGGTATATTTGAACCAAAAGTATGACTACAAGGTTATAGATAACCCAACAGTATAAGGAGGGGTATTCTTAGACCATTTTCGAAAGTAGAAGGGTATATTTGGCCTTTTGCCGTATATAATTTATGTATAATACGTATATAACCGTGTTTTCATCAATATATAAAATAACATTACTTTCCAGTTAAAGAAACATAATTCCAATTCTCTCTCACTCATGTTAGCTTAACGTGCGCAGTCCAGGGGAAGAGATCTCGGAATCCATCGTAGAAGGCAATTTTGGCTCAGGAATCAGCTGCGCTAGTAGGTAATCAACAAAGGAAGAAAGAAGAAATGCTAAAGGCAATCGCAAATTCTACCGGAAACCAATGGAACAGTAACAACTAAACCTAGGGATGCAAATTCAGAGGAAATTGGAGGATCATCAATGGTTGCAACACCAACTCAGGTGGTGGACGAAGGAACTTCCCATTCAAAAGCAGCTTCAAGGATCTCGTCGTAGAGTCAAAGGAAGCTATCGTGGGCTGATGAAATGGAAATAATGGAAGAAGATAAAAGTAAAGGATCCATCTGGGACAAATTTGACATCACTAAGGTAACAAATGCTGGTTTTAAACTAGAATACATAGCTCCTGAGGTGCATATAGACACTCGTGTGTGAAATTGAAACATAGGATAGTAACACAGAACTAGAATACTGAAAATCTGTTGTAGTGTGTTATGCCCTAAGGCTCACCGTCCCTTCTCAGTTTTGAATGGTTATATCCAGAAAATATAGGGCAAGTATGGAATTAATAAGATCTCCATGACGAAGAATGGGATAGTGTGGTGCAATTTGATGATGAAATGGGGAAGAATGAAGTGATTCAAGGAGGAATATACCACTGCGACTAAACATTTTATTGTGAAAGCATGGCAAACATGCATGGAATTTACCAGAGAAGAGCTAAACACAGTTCCAATTTGGGTTATAGTACCTAGTTTGGATTTTAAATATTGGAGCTCTAAGGGTATAAGCAAAATAGGCAGCTTAATTGGAAGGCCACTAATGGTTTACATGTTAAAAATTATCAGTAGCATATATGAGAAAGCAACAGATAATGAAAGTACTTAATTGACTTGAGTAATATATCAAATACATCAGACACTTTAAATAGAAGAAAACTAATAACTGAAGATGTCCATGACTGCTACATAGAAGAGGAAACTACTCCACTAACTTGACCATAAACTCCACTAGCACATGTAGCCTAAAGACTAGGAAACTACTAATTTAACTGCTGCCTACATTACATCAGTAAAGAATTAACATATTAACAAATGGGCTAAACGACCTACAAAGCCAAATTGCCAACATTCCCTCCCTTAAACTGAAACATCTTTCAATTTAATTTGCAAACTCCAAGCAAGTCACGTAGCTTTAGGAATGACACTAGCTTCAAGGGCTTTGTGAACATGTCTGCAACCTGCTCCTCACTTCTGCAATAAACAAGGCTGATCTTTGCATCCTTTGTGAGATCACGCAAGAAGTGATACTTCACATCTATATGTTTACTCCTTCCGTGTAGAACTAGATTCTTTGAAAGATTAATTGTTGAGGTATTGTCACAATAAATGGGTGTAGGCCCTTCCTGCTTAAAAAGAAGTTCTTCAAGGATGTTTCTCAACCAAATAGCTTGACAAGCACATGATGCTGCAGCTACATACTCCGTCTCAGTAGTCGACAAAGTAACAATAGGTTATTTCTTTGAAGACCAAGAAATAACTCCAGAGCCTAGCATAAAAACATATCCAGATGTACTTTTTCTACCATCTAGATTTCCGGCATAGTCACTGTCAGTATAACCAAGCAAATCTCCCGTTGCGTTCTTCTTGTAAAAAATTCCAAACTCACTAGTACCTTTCAAGTACCGTAAGATCCTTTTAGCAGCTTGTAAATGTACTTCTTTTGGACACTCCATGAATCTGCTAATAAGACTTACAACATGCATGACATCAGGTCTTGTTGCCGCTAAGTACATCAAGCTTCCAACCATTTGCTTATAAAGAGTATTGTCCACCTCTCTACCTTCAGGTTCTTTAATGAGCTTCAGACCCTTCTCCATTGGTGTGCTCACAGAGTTATAATTTTTCATCTGGAATCTGTCTAGAATATCTTGTACATATTTCCTTTGACAAATAAAAATCCCACCAGCAGATTGCTTCACTTCTATACCAAGAAAATAACGCATCATACCCAAATCTGACATGTCAAACTCGACCATCATGGACTTCTTAAAATTTTCAATCATAGCCATATCACTTCCAGTATAAATTAAGTCATCAACATACAAACATACCATTAGAACTCCTGCATAATTTTTCTTTATATAAAGAGTATGTTCATATGGACACTTTCGAAATCCCTCATTTAAAAAATAAGTATCTATACGACTATACCAAGCTCTTGGAGCTTGTTTTAGCCCATATAGAGCCTTTTTCAACCTGTACACCTTATTTTCAGCACCAGATTTCACATAGGCAGGAGGTTGTTCGATAAATACCTTTTCTTGTAGCTCACCATGTAGGAAGGCGGACTTCACATCTAACTGGAAGATACTCCATGCATTTTGAGCAGCCAAAGCAATTACCAATCTTATGGTGTCCAACCGTGCAACAGGAGCAAATGCCTATTCATAGTCAACACCATGCTCTTGCTTATATCCTTTTGCAACTAAGCGAGCTTTATACTTGTCGACCTCTCCATTATCCTTCAACTTTGTCTTGTAAACCCATTTGACACCAATGGTCTTCTGATTTTCTGGAAGATCTGTCAACTCCCAAGTATTATTTCTTTCAATTACTCTAATCTCCTCATCCATGGCTTGCTTCCACTTTGGATCTTTGACAGCATCAATAAAGGCTATAGGATCACAATCTGAAATTAAAGTAAAATGACTAGCTGAATTTTTAGATTTACTAATCCCATATACTTCATAGTCTTCCATCCATGCTGGTGCACCTTTGCTATGTTGAGGACGTTCATTGTTGGACTGAACATCATTTGATTCATGCTCAAGAGCTCCATCATCTTGTATTATGGAACCAGCTTGTGAACTAATCTCCAAAGGTTGTTGTTCTTCTTCTTCTTCATTACCAATTGAAATTTGTTGGGAAGAACCAACATTGTTCCAATTCCAAGTTGCTTCTTCATCAAAAAGGACATTACGGCTAATAACAATTTTCTTGGTAATGGGATTCAATAAACGATAAGCCTTTGAATTGTCACTAATACCAAGAAAAATACATTTTTGGCCTTTATCATCCAACTTCTTTCTAGCAGCATCTGGAATATGGGCATATGCAATACATCCAAAAATGCGAAAATATTCCACATTTGGTTTGCACCCGCTCCAAACTTCATGAGGTGTCATATTTTGAACAGAACTAGTGGGGCTTCTATTCAATATATGAATGCTCCAGTGAACTGCTTCGGCCCAAAAATCTTTTGGTAAGTTGCTTCTCTTCAAAAGACTACGCACCATATCAAGAATTGTGCGATTCTTCCTTTCGCACACACCATTTTGCTGAGGTGTGTAGGCTGCCGTAAGTTGCCTTCTAATTCCATGCTTCTCACAAAATTCTACAAATTTATTTGAGTTGTATTCTCCACCCCAATCAGTCCGCAAGCTTTTAATTTTACAACCAGCTTCATTTTCAATAAGCACTTTAAACTTCTTCAAAGTTTCAAATGCTTCTGATTTTTCCTTTAAGAAATAAACCCATGTGTTTCTGCTATAATCATCAATGAAACTGATGAAATATCGTCTACCTCCCTTAGATGTAGGACTTATGGGTCCACAAATATCTGAGTGTACTAGCTCCAGCACCTTCTTTGCCCTCCAAGACTTGCTTGTTGGAAATGATTCACGGTGTTGTTTGCTAACAACACACTTTTCACATATTCCGTTAGGAGATTCAAATTGCGGCAGACCCAACACCATCTCTT